ATGCCAGCAAGAGACATTTCTAATAATCCATTGCTGTAGATGAGGATTGTTTTTAAATTAGGGTTGKTTTTTTCTGTATGCAGCCACCTCATTGCAAAGTAAAAGATGCTACCCTGGTGATACCTCGTGTGAAAGAAACTAAGAAGCMATTTCTTTTATAGTTTGCCAATTGAAATGTATAGGGGTGGGAAAAAGTAGAAAAATAATATTTCAGCCTAGATACTCATAGGACCTTTTCTGAACTGCTCTGTCAGCACATTCTCCCCCARAAACTTGTGAACCTGTGAGTCCAATTTGAAAGAGGAAGTAAAATTTCAAGGAGCAGTGTCTTTCCCTAAGATTATTGATAAATAGTCTCCGAATATAAGGCAGAAACCCTGAATTGCACTTTCAGTAAGGCAGTCAGCRGCTCCTCATTCTGGTGTGTGGGTGCTGTAGTCTGTAGTGCTGTTAGAGCTGGGGATGTGATCAGAAACTGGCCTGACTGTGGCCTCACCTCAGTGCTCTAAAGGAAACAACTCACTGAACAACTTTGTCGTATAGTTAAACTTCCTGTTTAATGCAATAACGTGAGATCAGAGCCATTTGGTGCAAAATCTCCAGTTGTAAGGAGGAGGACACGYAACAGCAATGAAGGCATAAGGGGTGCAGAGATTTTATGCTGTCTGTCTGCAAGTAATGAGCTCAGTTCATTCCATATGGCTGTTAATTGCTATCAGGATAAGTCACAAAGTGAGCTAATGGCTTTGCTCACACACAAATTGTGGAAACATATTTTCCAAGTCAGAAAACAACCGGTTAGTTGAATCACGCGCTTGGAAGTCGGGAGACCTGCTTCAACTTTCTGCTCCAGCTTAKGTTTCTTGAGTTTCCATAGCCAAGCATTTAAAATATGGCTTTGCTGCAGACTACAGTGAAGCATCAAGGTCTGCTAGTTAGTTTTTAATGAGCYAGCTTGGAAGCAGTCTGTGGCAGTACTCAGTTAACTTATCCTCAGCTCCATTTCCAGTTCATCCATTAATTTAACTTGTGACAGTTGGATTTCAGGGTGTTTCGTGAAGTTCAGCAGGGATCAAATATAATCCAGCACTCTGATCAATCATATGAAATAAATTTAGCATTAAATGACCCAGTGGTCATCTCGAGTTAGATGTTAATTGTCTAACCATAGGGACTCAATTGACTTTGCAAAGTAGGACAGATGGGCTCTGTAGTGCTGAAGATGAAGGATAAAATAACTAGCAAAGAGCCCCAAGAGGCCGTATTTGGAACATGATTCATCTCACCTAACTTTTGAGATCCCCAACCCTAATTACCTTTGGARTTGGTGGAAACTTTAATCACTGTTGGACAGTGATTCATCTGCATTATTTGAGGCATCACCTTGATGAAGTAAATTTTTTGTAGAAAGGCATATGGATGAGAGGGGAACCTAGAAGCAAATCTCTATATTGAGCTGGGCAAATTCAACCTCGGGGTCTTTTCAGGARGTAACCTTGCTTATTTAAATATTTTTTTGCAGCGTATCTGTACTACAGCTTGCAGATAAGACAAGAAACACTTGCCTGATCTAGCTTTGGTCCCTGCGAGGTCTCTCTGTCATGTTCTGGGAATGACACCTTCTGCTGTAAAGAGACAAGGTGGAGGTCAAACCACTTATCAAACCAATAGGTGTGTCTGGAAACAGGATAGAAGCTTTTGAGCCTTCTGGAGGATATTCATATGCATGGGGAGTTTGTTAACAGGAAACCTTTCAGTGTTTYAGACCAGAGAGCTGAATTTTATTTCAGTGAAACAGCTGAGCTCTTGAAAAAACCTTACCAACATTTGCAGTTTTATTAATAAGGATCCTGTCAAATGGAGCCTGTGAGACGTCACGTTGTTAAAAAAAAAAAAAAAATAGATTGCAGAATTTTACAGTATTGGGAGGCAGGGGAGGTTTCACCTGTGCTTTGTGATCAGCGCTCTTGGATTTATTAACAGCGATGTTTCAACCAGAGMAGGGATGAATTGTGAGGAAAACGCCACGAGAGGGAGATGTTGGAAGCAAGAAAGCTTTCTCAGCCTTACACAGCGGGGTTACGCTTAAAAGGCGCTCCGCAAAAGATTGTTAAACTTTCCGGGAGCTCACAGCATCCTTAAAATAAATATAATTCTGGGAGCCAGTTCATCTGTAAAGCTAGAGATCGCTTTCAGAAAAAAACCGACAAAACAAAACATGCAAGAAACAAAAACCTGCATGAAGCTTCTTTCATTGAAAAAGAAATCTTCACTAGACACCGCAATGGCTGTCATTTTAAGGTCMGATGTTTTAATTTCTGCTGCTTTTATGTTTATTTCCAGTGGTAAAATGCATTCTATAGTACTGATATGATGACAATTTACTGCTGAATATGAGTAGAGGAGAGTACAAGGAGACAGACCTGCTTAGACAGATCGCTGTTCTCCTCTCATCTTTTTCTGGTACTTATTTCCCACTACTGTTAAGACACCTCTCTGGAAAAACTTTGGATATTTCACAGGGTTCAGCAGTAATTAAATGCGTATTTGAACTCCTAGCCAGTCTTAAAAAATGAATGTAGCAGTAAATGGCTCAAGTCATGTCAAATATATAGGGCTAAATGTGGATATTAATTATGTAACCAGAGGGACTCAATTTACTTTGTAAAGCAATTAAAAGGAGACAGAAATTTACAGTCTCTTTCTGGAAAAGAGTAATGCTTGTTTAAAAATAACTTTCTACCCAGAATAGTCTGCCTGTCTCACATAAGATCAATTGTGGGGGGAAAAAAATCCTTAACCAACACAACAGAAGACTTTGGCATTTACAACACTTCTTCTTTATGGAAACATCAAACCCGAGTTTTAAAACAATAGAAGTTGACAGTTAGGTGCCCAGGTGCACTTTTAGGCATGTAAACAAAGGCTTTGCTTTTCAAACTGGCTGAAGAGCACATCAAAACTTAGCTTCCCCTTGTTTTCATTCCCCATGGGCACATTAAGGATATGAAGAAGCCTGTGTTCCTGTGCACAGGAGGTAGAGGGTTCATTGTAGTCTTGTCTCTTTTCCTTTTTTAAATTTTAAATGTGTTTCTTGCTTTGGAGTGGATGGGCAAGGACTCCTTTCCAGTATAGGTATCAGAACTGGAGTTTGTTCCTCTATCCATAAGCAAAGTGTGAAAACTTCATGAACCTAAATCACCTGCTCCAACAGGCATCCTGATGGAAAACTACCATGTTCTCAGGTGCTTACTGCACTTCAGTTCTGCTTTGAGTGGATTTTATATTCCTCTTCTTTTTAGTGTATCCTCTGAAAATACCAGTGAGGGATTTGGGGCTGACTGTTGGAGAAAAGATCACAAGAATTCAGGCCAATGGCCTCAGTGTCTGTCCCTCTCTCTGCCTCAGAGATGGACAGAGTGCCAGGAAGAGGCATCTTCAAATATCTGCCGGTGCTCCATCTTCAAAGCAGTGTAGCCAGATAGAAAGGGAAGCAACAACACTCCCAACATGACTCACAAGGTCTTTGCACTTCAATGTTCTCCTGTCCATCACTTCAGGAATCAGCTTCTAGCAATGTGCTAAACAAACCCATGGTAGTTACTTTTGTCTTCAGAGTACAGCATGCTTGGCTGCTGTGCATTGGCTGGAGCAATACTGCATTTAATTATTCCTTTTTTCCGGAGTATCATGCTTTAAGTTTCCCTGTGACATTTTCCCCCCTGCCCTGTTGGGAACATGACTATAGTGGGATTTTCTGAGGGAGTTTAATGCATACAGACATGACAGCGGGAAAAGGAACTGAAGTGGTGTTAGTCGAAATTGTTTATTTCAAAACTATAGTGAGAAAGAGCTTCAAAAACTCCTGAAAGAGCTTGGAGACACCGCATTTGGGAGCCAGGGGCTATTACCTTTACACTTCAGTAGAATTTCTTTGCTTTTATGTCACTGTTTCTAAAGTAAAAACGAGTTGAAGACAGGGAGAAAGGACATAAATTCTGAGTGCCTTTCTCAAGTAAAATTTTACTGAAACTAGAAAGTTCATATAAGCAAGAACTTCTAGGCATGACAGCAAGAAACTTACTTCTTGTAGAACAATTTCAAAACCTTTTGGTGAGAAAGGATGGGGTTGTATGCTGAAGCAGTATGTGACAACACAAATAGCTCTATTTCCACACTCTTCAATGAGTTTGGTATGTTCTAGGTGATTTCACTGTCAAGGCTGAGCATTAAACAACATTTACTCTGTTATATAAGCAGGGTTCTTGCTAATTTCTTCTTTGCAGTGGGCTGTACCAGTTAATATATGACCTTCCCTGTTAGAACTCCAAGAACAGTTAGCAAAACATATATATGTAAGTTTTAAAGACTGTCTCAGTCTTTTAAGTATTTTTAAAGGCCTTAATTTTAAAAAAACTATTTTAAAAATACATGTAGAATGTGAGAGCATGTGCTTTAGAATTCTGCATTCTTGTACATCTGCACTTAGCAGCAATAAAAGACAGTGAAATTCTGGTGCTAAGAGCATCAGATCGTGTCTGTACTGGGTGCTTTAGTTTGCCTAACTCCAAATGCATCCTGTAGCTGTTTCAGCTGGTTTTCAGGTGAGCAAAACCCAGGACATGGCCCAGGTGACAGCTGCTCTCTGTTCCAACACTTACTCCACACAGACAAAATGACTGTGGGGAATACTACAGCTTCCAACTACCTGGAAGTCCACATTCCCAGTAATATAAGCAAAAGTAATTAGCCTCTCTGTAGCTGTTTTGACTAGTTTTTAAAGGATAAAAAAAAATTTAAAGGCTCTCTTCACTGCATAAAGGTATATGAAGGCTTTTTCATTGTGTTCAGTAAACAYATAGGTTCTCTTTAGTGCAAGTGGMTGATTTCCAGATTTACCTTCTCCAGTCTGAATTTCTGATCTGAATGGTGCTCCACTTTTACAGCAGTCAAAACAAAAATCTGTAGCTTTATACCAGAGCAAAGGGAAAACAAGTATAGCACATTAATGCATCCATCTTATATCCAGTTTATTTAATACCAGAGCAGTAAATACAAATAAGAGTTCTGGAATCTGGCAATGCTAGATCTAACAAGATACAGCTACAGCAGTCTTTTGGTAGTTCTGGAATCCTGTGTGTGCTGCAAAGCTGAAGGGTGTACATGAGTAATCCTCACGTTCAGGCTTATAGATACTGACCATACAGTTAAAAAAATAATGCTCCTGATATGGCAGAGCAGCATTTGCAGGAAAACAAAGCAACCCTGTGCCTGTCAGCTGAGAACTATGTTCCAATATGTGTAGTCTTATAACAAGTGAAATAAACAATATCTTTTTGCTTAAGAAAGGAATGTGATCTTTGGTCAACATAATAATAGTGCTTTCATACTATTTTACAACTGTACTTCTAAGATTATGGGACTTCTCAATGTTGCATTATGGGTAAACACTCAAAATCTGAAAGTAACCCTTCTAGTTTCAATGCAAGTAAAATTTCAGAGCAGAGGTAGGCTTCAACAGAGCATCTTACAAAGACTGAATCTCAGCTGCCCCTTGGAATGTGTAGGAGGCAGTGAGTCATCTTCAGATCACCTCTTTTCCCTTTCATAATTTCTGCATGAGCACAGCACTTTCAGACACACTGGGCTAAGCCCTTATTTAGTTGTCTGAAGTAAGAGCTCTGAATGTTAACTGACAACATATTTAGACCCATCTGATGTTTAATACCCACATCTGGAAAGTGTAGCTAACATTTCTTAGTGCTCTCTGAAGTGGCATTTCAATACCACAGCGATGACTAGTTGTAAGGACATTGGTTATTAGGAAAAACATTCTCTGTGAGCACAGGTTTTACCAGCAGGCTGACCTTTAAATCCAGGCAGACATCCTAAAGAACTTGTGCTCTTTACCAGTCCATGTGCTTTCCAAGCTTCTTCGCCCATCTAAAACTGAACAGTCACATCCACCTTACAGGTAATGAAACTTTTGTTAAAGCTTACAAAAACAGTTCTGTGAAAGGGATCAACCCAGGCCTCATGCTGGCTCTTGCTGTAGAATTATTTCACTCAACAATGACCTTGAAAAAACAGTCCACTGCTCACTGACTAACTTTTCACTAACATTTCAGTTCCCACACTCCTCAACCCTCTCTACTTCCCTTCATCACTCATGGGGAAAAAAATAAAAGATAGTGAAATGGGAGACAGTACTGCTTTATGTATCTGCTTCCCTACTTCTGGTGCCTCTGCAAGGCAGCTTTGTGGATAAATACCTTTTTGTAGACTTGATGTCTAAGCATTTAATTATATGAATTTCAACAAGTGTAAGGCACACAAATATCTGAGTTAAATAAAAATACATGATCACATGAAGCCACGATGTTTTGCTTTTCTTTAGTGCAAATGTTCTTGCACACACAAAAAAAAAAACCTATTCAGAAGTCTGAAGTAATATTTCGATCAGCAAGGCTGAGTTTGCTAGAAACTGTGTGGCACTTAGGGACATTTTTTAGTGGTGGGCTTGGTAATGTTTGGTTAATGGTTGGACTTGATGATCTTAAGGATCTTTTCYACTATCAGTGATCCTGTGAAATAACTGTTTATACTTCAGTTGCACCTAGAAACTCTATCCAAGACCATGTTGGTGTTGAATAAATACAGACTACATCTCTCCTCTGGAGCAGCTTAGAGTTTAAGTGGCACAGCCCTAGACACAGTAAATCTGTAGCAGAACTTGAAAGTAGAAGGTCAGGTCTTCTAGGTCTAGATCTTACACTTGACCATACTCTCTCCCACCTTTGGTTTCTACTGTCTTAGACCTCCAGATATTGACCTTTGGAGGAAATTCACTGAATCCCAAGAGCTGCCTCTGCTCCATTATTTCAGCTTGTTCCAACTCCAAGACTAACCATCCCTTACACAGATTTCCTTCTCTTTCCAAACACATTGTTGATCAACTTGGCCATTGACTTGGATCCACTTGGTCGTCTCTTTTCCTTCACTTTGAAATTGGAAGTAATATTCCTCAGGACTTTGGTGAACATTGCCACAACTTCCTGATAATGTTCTGCTGCAGACAGTTCACAGAATTGGCACTTGTTATCTACTGCCAGCTTCTGTCCTTCATCCCAGCCAACTTCCCTCATGTGGCATAAATCCTGTTTGTTGCCAACCAAAAATATTGATGACTCCACCATTCTGAAATGGAAAAGGTTCCAGTTAGAGAACAGATATGTTACAATACTGTGTCTGAAAAATACGTATATTAAGGTTAAGAGGCATTGCAAAAAAAACAAAAAAAAACCCCAAAAAAATAACTACCTAGCCCCCTAAACTTGCCAGGCAGAATTCCAGTTTTCGTTTGCCAAAGTCAAATATCAGAGGATGTTCCAGACGAGCTATTCTCTACCAGTGGGTTTTATTTTTTTTTTCTTCTACTCAGTGAATTAATAAATTTTTAATCCACTGCTGTTTTCATACTCTGTGCTGCTGAGTACATTGTCAGCACCTGGACTTCATGAAGAAACAACCTGATTATTATCTCCATTTGTAGGTAGCAAAATAGAGTCCAAGAGATACATCAGTGTCAGTGGCATAACTCAGAAGGAAACACAGGAAAACTAATTCCAAGATTTTGCTAAAACTATTGCATTCAGAGAAACCTTAATTAAGAAAGTTCAGCAGTAAAACAGACAGAAAAGTGGTTTTTTTACTCCACTTCTAATGTAGGAAAAAGACTTCACTCTTTCATTTAAGGAAGCACCTCAGCTGACTGATGCAAGCACATGTGCCACCATCCATGCTCACACCTGCAATTCTGGTGGTTCTTTTTGAAATTAGTTTATTTCTTACCATATGGTCACCCATGTGCACAAATGAAGTTGGGATCACTGCTAAAGGCACTGTAGGAGACATTTGGGGTATTACTTTCATTTATTGTGGGAAATGTTTTCTTCAACCCCCACACTGGAGCATCTCCAATGGTAACTGAGTGGGAGAGTAAAAGCACAGACTGACTATGCCAGGCTTTTACCTGTGTAAATCACAGCAGGAAGATTTATGGCAAATATTTATATATTCATTCTGTAAGAAATAAGAACAAAAATCCCAATGTACTTGGGTTTGGATACAGTAAAATGGATTACAATTTGGAACGCATTTTACCTTCAGGTACCTTGTTTTTGGCATTGTGTTATGTCACTTTGATGCTGCTGGATTTTTATTGCTACTAGGATGCTTGTAGGCTCACAGAAATGTTCTCAGATTTCCCTGTTTGCTGAGGGAAAGAAAAAAAAAACAAACAAAAGCCACTTACTTTTTACAAACTCCTATGTGGGACTCTCGGAGCCTGTACAGCAGTGCTTTTGCAAAGGCAAACGATGCTCTGTCGCTGATGTCGTAAACAATGATGAACCCATCAGCCCAGTGGAGCTCATCTGTGAGGGAGAGCTTCCCCCGCTGTGGCTGAAACAAGTTCAAATGCACATGGAAAGAGAATGTAACTCTTGTCAATTCAGAGTGTTTTCTTTGTCACTGTGAATGTGAGAACATTGTGTCTTTTATTGCAAAGGATATTTAATAGCTCTAGGTGCTGGCACTGAATGCAGGTGAGTACTGCCCTAAAAGCCTAATAAACAACCACCACTAAAGATGGCACTTTGGATCACTGACAAGTTCATTATGAAACATTTACACTTTGTTTAAGCAGTAGAATTCCATAACCTGCACAGCCATTGCTTGTGCTGAATAATCTGCAGGTTTACATGAGGACAAAACATACAATGAGAAGCCATCAATATTTGTGTTTTCTGGTTCTAGCTCTGGTTTGAATGCTCCTAATATTCTAACCACAGTAAGCTTAATTATTTCTTCATTTGTTTTGTTTCGCCTTTGAATTGAGTTTCAAACACTAATTACCCATTTGTTAAATTTCTGGGCAGCTAGGAAAAAAAAACCTTCTTTCAATCTGCAGTTGAGTTTAATAAAACTAATGACAAAAGTCACTCAAGTGATGATAGGGTTATACTAACCTTGGACTCCCTTCACACTAAGAAACTGTCACACTTCTGATTTCCAGAAAGCAACAGCTGTAAGCTGTCCCATTAAGCAAAGGAATGTAATTTCAAAACTACTTAAAAATAGCTTATCTCTGTATATGATTTGGCAGCAGCTAGCAAGACCATGTGACCTAAAATAGATAAAACACTGGAAGCTGATCAGGAAAAAAGAAAATTGAAAAAAAATTTACTTCTGCTCTATGGAAAACCCATTTGAATAGAAAACTGAGGACTGTTTAAGCTGATTCCTTAAGCACTTTGCTACTTGTAATGGATAATCTCTACTGTCATCCCACCCTGGCTGCCCTGATTAGCTCAGCATCAGGACAGCACTGCAGCACCATAAACATCTGAACTGGAAAAGGTGCCATTTACCACGAGGGATGGTAACAATACTGACAGTGAAGGGGTATGCATGAGAAAAAAAATGAAACAAGTTCCCAGAACTGTCTAAAGACTTCAGCATTTTTAATGGAAGATTTTTAATGCTGTGGGGACTGCACAATAGCTTTAGGGCCAGGAAAGGTGACGTGTGTGTGTCACAGCTGCTTCCCAGCTGAATGAAGGGACAGTGAGCTTTGCAAAACAGGACTCCACCGACTAGAGGGAAGCCTCAGCGGGCAGGAAGACTTTGAGAAGCAGAAACAAAAATGGCAACTCCTCCTTCCCCTGTTTTCTTCTCCAGTTCTCATGGGATGCGGGACCCCCAAAACCCATCCAGTCCTACCAGACAAAAAGCAATTCCCCCTCTACCTGCTCCTGTGCAGGAACTAAGGGGAGGTTGAGAGTAAAGCAACAAACAGCTAAAATTAGGCCTTGTTCCAAAGGGAAAAAAATAGTATGAGACAACTCAAGAGAGTGCTAGTGCAATCATGTGGCCACTGTGGCAACCAGAGCCTCTCATAATTTAGGCCTCATTTGTTTAATACTATCCATCTGCTGCTCCCAATGTTTCAGCACCTTGATAAAGAGTTGCTCCCATGCCATAGGCTTTAATATGACAGCAAGGGGAAGCTGTGGGTAAGCTCAGGAAAGGGGTCTCAGGTTCAAGCCCATAGAGCAGCAGCCTCCAAGAGTAGGGCAAGGGAAGACTCCATCGTGCTACGTGACACAGTGGCCAGTTCAGGATCCTCACTGCCCTGAGAAAAAAATGTTGTTTGTCTTCACACTGGTTAAGTTTTTAAGCCTGAATTTGAAGTGTATGTCAGACTTTCAGTGCTTGGGCTTTCATATCAGCATTCCTTACCCCAAGAGGAGAGTTAAATTGGTAAGAGGCAAGGTAGCTGCCCAAAAGGAAACCTGGAGATCCAATGTGATCAGCCAGACAGACCTAGGTCTGCATGTCTTACACAGTACTTAAGTTTCTCTATTCCTGTGAAGTAAGTAAATTAATACAAAACTTTATTTCAGAGTGGTTTACTCTGATTAAATTTTAATTGTCAATGTGTCCAAGCTGCATTACGGCTTTCCTTGGAAAAGAAAATTGTTCTGTGAATGCAAGCCTTACTTCCAGGCCTGTCTAATTTGACCACTTCTGCAGCCATTTAATAAACTGTTTGCTTTATAAGCTAAATTTCATTCTTTTAGRGTATTTGAGAAAACTGCATGTAATSCAATAAYTTATCTCTGTATTTAYCTATGTAAAGCAAAAGTGATGTTATTTCTGTTAGTATCATCCCAAAGTGCAAAAGCATTTCCAGAAAATTTCTGCAGTGATGGGTTTCTCTGATGAAGCGGGAAAGAACTCTGAGTTCTGAACCCCAACAACTATAAAATTTCAGTCTTAAAAAAACCACAGCAGGCATAAATTACAACAAGAAGTTTGTAAGCCCTTGACCCTTTTAACCATATACACAGGTAATGAAGAACAGCCTTTCTTCACTCTCCTCCTGCTAAATTCTTACCTGTGAACAGGGATCATAAATTTCCAGGTGTATCTGCCTCCCATCCAGGCACAAGTGTTTAGTATAGATGCATTCTAAAAGATAGATATTATCCAAAGAAAATCAGTGTTACTGACCAGGGATGACAGTGAAAAGAAAAAAACAAAAAAAACAAAAAGAAACCCCAAAAAACAGGCAGCAACAGTAAAATTTGATAATACTGAAGATTTCTTGAGTTCTGGTTGTTTAGTTAGTTTTTCAAACTAACTGAAGTGGTTTCAAGCAGTTTAGGATTTGTTGTTTCTGATCTGGTTTTTTTTGCAGATAAGGAAGGTTGATAGGGTTTTTTTGTTTATTTGTTTGATGGTTTGTTTTGTGGATTTTGTTTTGTTGCTGTCTTTGTGATGTTGTGGATTAGTTGTTTATATTGGTTTTTTTTTTTCAACACACACTGGAAAGAAACCTATTTAATTTTGTACCAAATCAACCCCTTAGGCAGATCAACACCATTTCACTGTGGTGTTCCCACTGAAGTTTTGCTAAAAGTCATTATTAGCAATGATATTTATTTAACATGGCATCTGGTGCTTTAAGAGTTCTCAAACTAGGCAGCATTAGACCATGAGTATTTATAGGATCGTGTCCTTAGTTTCTAGTCCAAAAATAGTTCTGTTGTCAGATTTAGGACTCTCAACCAGCACTGGCAACACTGAGAACTCTACTGCAGACACACCATCACCATTATTTTAAGCAGCAGGATGTAACTTAAGCAAGTGTAACCAGTTTGTGGTTGCCAACAGGCTTTCTGCACTATAATTTGTCATTCCCTGAACTACAGAGACCAGAATTGATGTTGACACCTAAGAAAACATCTTAAAACTGGGCAATGAGGGATAGCTCTCTGATGTCTGGAACTCAGCATCTTCAAAATTCTTCATGCACATTTTAAGAGTTCATCTGATGATAAACTATCAATCCCAAGCATCTCAGGGTATAAAATCTACAGTCCCTTGTTTTTTTTTTCCTTAATTGAAAAACACTTTTAATTTTTCTTTTGACTCCACTAACAGTGGCATGGCCTTCATTTCACCACCCCTATTCCCACTTTCCTCATCTTTAGAAACAGTGCTAAACTTCTCTTCCAACAAACATTTGTTAACAAATGAAAATGTTCTGGGGTTTTGACATGCCCTTTTCAGGACATGCAGTACTGGAGGCTCAGAACAGGGAAACCTGGTTTTAGTTGTAGGTGTCTTGGAACACACACAGAGCACAGAGAGCACTATATAATTTACATGTGACAGCTTTGAACTAAAGCAGCTAGCTGGGACACAAACTGTTCAGTCTGTGTTTTTATACCAACAAGAATTATTAGAGCATATATGTACAATCAAAACTCTTCCTTCAGAATAAGTTCAGTACAATTCAGCTTAGTACTTCTTTTTTGTTGTTATTTATGGACTACTAGAAGCTATTCTGATTCCTATGGGGGGAAAATAAGTGTGAGAGAATGCTTCATTTTAGCAGGGAGAGTGAGATGGATGGCAATCTCTGTGCCTCGTTAAGTTTTGGGACTTCTGCCACATCAGCTGGGGTGGCAGCACACTTCCCAAGTTATTTGTGTATCAGCTGAACACTAGTTCTACCCGGGATGTAAAAGTCCAAGTCCTGCCAAATTTGCCATCTTCTAATACTTTACAAGTATCTTAAGGATCAGCATATTGTGGCACGAATGTGACATTCTCTCGTGTGTACAGCCTGGCTTTCCCCAAAGCCATCAAACCGGGGCATTCCTGCTTCACTGGGGGCTCCGCGTTGTGCTTTGATTAACCCCCAGTGTCAGACAATCTGCTTTCCCTCTGCCCTGCAGCCGAGAAGGGACTATTCACCAGATGTTGGGGGTTTTTTCTGGTCTATCCCTTTGCTCTGCCCATCTCCTCTCTCAATCCACGCTCGCAGCCGTGCTCCCTTCCCCTCCCCAGCCTTTCTCCGCTGCCTTGCGAGCAGCGCCGTGCCCAGAGCTCTGCGCTTCGGAGCGATCTCTGCCCCGACACCGGCGCCGCCTTTTCACGGATAACCGAACAGAAACTCAAATCTCGAAAAGTTCTGTCACACCGCGAGTTTACCCCATTTCTCCACCAAATAAGTGCTTGAAGCGCCCATCTTGCGCTCCCCGGGGACCCCTCTCTCCATCCCTCCCTCTCTCCATCCCTCCCTCCCTCTCTCCATCCCTCCGTCCATCCCTCCGTCCATCCCTCCGTCCATCCCTCTCTCCATCCCTCTCTCCATCCCTCCATCCCTCCATCCCTCCCTCCGTGTCTCCCGGGGCGCTCACCGGCGTTGGACGCGTACTCTCCGATGAAGCGCCGGGTCAGGAAGCGCACGGCCAGCGCTGCGGGAGGAAAGCACAGCCAGGTTTAACGGGGCCGCTCCTCCCTTCCACCAAACCCGCGACATTCCCATTCCCTAGCTTTCCCCCTTACCCGATTTGCCGGCTCCGCTGCCGCCAAGCACGGCCACCTTCACCTCGGTCATTCCGCCGCCACGCCGCCCCCGCCGGCTCCGAGCCTTTAAAGCGCCTCCGGCGACACCGCCCCGCATCCCGCATCCCGCCCCTCCCGGCTCCCCGCGGCGGGGCCGGGCCTTTTCCGCTCCTGAGAGGCGCCTTCCTCCTCATCCTCCTCCCCACGAGTGCTCCCGTTCGTTCCCCGCCGCGCAAACTTTCCGCAGGTCGCCGCCCGGTTTACTGCCGCCGCCCCGGGCGGGCTGGGGGTTCCTCGCCTCCTTCTCCTCTCAGTGCGCTCAGGAACTGGGGCAAAAAGGGGAAAAAAAGAAAAAGAGAAAAGGAGAAAGCGAGGGGGGTGTTTTTGGTTTTGCACTAAGTTTGTTTTGCAGGCTTGTCATCATTTTGTACAAGGAATATGAAAGTGAAGAAACTAAAGTTGTTTTTTTTAGAATGCTTCTGGGGGTAACTGGCCATAAAAAAAAGTTTGTGCTTGGCTGGTGCTCTCTGCCCCAGGTTTCAAAACTCTTATCACTCAAAAAGCTCTGATCTTGTAAAAAAATTCTGTAAGCCTGCCTTTTTATGCCTGTGAATGTTTGTATTGATTTATATTTAAAGTTATGTGGTATATGGTGTTCAGTTGAGGCTTTGCAATATGCTGGTGAAAGGGAAAAATGTGAAATAGCAAAATGCTGCAGGTGTGGAAGGTGAGGTAGAAAGGGCTAACCCAACGCAGAAGACACCTTGTGTCTGCTGTACCTATTTGTTTGGAGATTCCTCAAGCGCTCTCTAATGTCGATTTGGTTCTGAAGGTGCACAGAATACGTCTATGCAAAGGTTGAGTTAGTGCACTGGTAAATAAGAAATTGCTTTAACATCCGGGTTGCACTTTTGTACTTGTTCTGTTCATGTTTATTTTATTTGGTTTATATAACTTTAGTACACTTACTCTGATATTTTTACTCCCTTCTGGTGGAACTGTTGTGCATCATATAAATCATTCAATAAAGCACTGCTTCAGTGTGCTTGCTTGAGGGTATTACAGGTACCAGAGATTTACATGAATTGAAGAAAAAACAGGCGGGTGAGGTGTTTGGACAAATGTTTGCTATAGCAGATGGAAATACTAAGTGTAGGAAAATATATTTAAATATGAAGGGGCAGACACAACTTGGCTTCAAAGTCCCTTCCTCAGAAGCTGCTAATGGCTGGAGGTGTGATCAGAGGATGCATCTCTTTTTGCTTCATGGATGTTTTCTCACAGAATCATAGAATGGTTTTGGTTGAAAGGGACCTTAGAGGTTATCCAGCTCCAAACTCCATGCCTGAAGCAGAGACACCTTCCACTATCCCAGGATGCTCAGAGCCCCATCCAACCTGGCTTTGAACAYTTCCAGGGATGGGGCATCCACAGCTGCTCTGGGCAACATATACTGCCTTCCTCCAAAGAAAAGAATTTTTTTCCTAATATCTGATTTAAGCCTACTGGCTTTCAGTTTGAAACCATTCCCCCTCATCCTGTTCTGCTATTTCTTGCTCACAAGGCAAAGATTATTAAACTGTCTAAAAGAACTTTAGCCCGAGTTTTGGCTGTTTTAACATTTATTTTTGAAATAGCAGGATGCTGAGATCACTAGGCTTGAGTCAATATTAGTATAACTGGCACAACTTAACACTTTACTGTTTCATGTACATTGAAACCACTGCAACAGGAAACACAGACTTAACTGTACAGGAAGCTTAGCATCAATATCAAGGATATGGCAGCCTGCTAAAAGTCAAAGGCTGTGGTACTAAATGTTATACTTGAGATGTGAATTCTCCAAACTCTTATTTTATACCCTCTACAAAAG